CGCGCTCGGGTCTTGGCTGTCGAAATGCCCTCTGGGCTCAATTTTGTTTGAGTGCCTACAACTAAGGTTATGATGTTTCAAGGCAGAATCGCAGTAGATGCTATTAAATTTCTGACATTTACCTTTCATGGTTGTAAAAATTGCTACCGTGTTTATGGTAATTTTCATTCTAAGCATAGAGAATAACTCTTCCCTGTAAAGTCATGGGTCTGAGCACTCTCTGAAGGACTTGGGAAGAGATTTTTGGAGATTACTTAAGTTTCCCGTCTCGGGACAGCCCTTTGAGAGGGCAAGGCCTCTTCTGGGCTCCCCCTTTTGAAAATCATGGTGTCTTAAAATGCTGCCGGTAGAAAAAAACCTCACCACCTCCTTTGAAAATTTTCTTGCTGCCCTTTAGGGATTGGTGGGAGACTTTCAGATCAGAAGCACATTGTTATTCGCTGTGTAGCATTTCAGGCTAGCGCAGCCGAAAGGTAATTGCTTAGTTTAGTGAAACAACGATGCTGAGATAGTGAGATGTGTTATTTAGAGCACAGCGTGGTGTAGCGGGACAATATTATGAAAGGAATAATCTAGAGGAGAGATCAGAAAGAAGGACTTCAGGCATAGGTTACCCAAGCTGTTAACTTCCCTAGCGGCTCTCAAATAGGTTTTAGCTATGCAGCCGCAGCAAAGCCCCGGTGGTTGCCGGTACGGGCCCAGTGATGAGGGATGGCGTGTACCTGCCAGTCCCTGAAACAGTGCTGAAAAGCAAGTGGTGGAGTCAAGACGACTCACGTTGCTTGATACATTGGACTAGAGAAACACCAGCTTTAGCTCTGTAAAATAAGGATGTTATGACTTAAAGGGATTACTTCTATGGACTATATTTATCCCTGTGCAATTCCCTTGTCTGTGGGCAATTCATCCAGACTTTAGCATGCTACTTTTGCGATTAGTGCGTCCTTGCGTGTCATTGGCAGAGAGAAACCTCAACCAGCCAGAAACATTACTAGCACGGGAACGGGAGACAGAAAACGCAAGGAAATGCTGCAGAAAGCAGCGGTGCGCGGGGAGCCCGTCCCCCCCTCACAGGGACAGACACTGGACCCAACGCCACTGCGGGCAGGAAAGCTCCTGGACACTGGTGGGCTGAAGGCTTCTCTCCTATGGTGTCTTTCGCAGGTGGTGTATTTCTCGGCCACCTACCCCTACTTCATGCTCTTCATCCTCTTCTTCCGGGGAGTCACGCTGCCGGGAGCCAAGGAGGGGATCCTCTTCTACCTCACGCCCGACTTCAGAAAGCTCTCCGACTCCGAGGTTCGTAGCCTTGTGAGGAAAGTTCTTGCCTCCCGGTTGTCTCCACATTAGTCTTCCTCAGGCACTTCCCTTGAATATTTTAAGTGTTAAAAATAAATTGGAGTAGTTCAAGCAGTCACGACCCTCACAGGCTGAGACAAAGCTGAAGGGCAGGCCCTTTCTGGGTGGAAATCCATGCAGCAGCTCTGCTGTACTCAAGCAGTGTTATCCGTGGGGCGGGGGTTTGAGAAATTACCCCAACGAAGGAACCTCCCCTCCGGGCTGGGAATGCCTCATTTTACTAACTGTCCCAGGGCTGGTGATTCGATCTTGATCTGGTGGTCCCAGAGAAAGGAGGATATGGTGACGCTGGCATGGGCGCCTCAGAAGCGCAACAGTACACATGGCAGCAATTTTTGGAAGTGCTTAAATGACGACTGGTGGCCAGTAACATTGCTTTGGTCAGGGGAAGCACAGGGGGGACCGAGGAGAAGCATGGAGGCTTGCAAAGGCAAAGTTTTTCAGGCGACACAGACTCTGCCTTTTGCAGCAGCGATGCTCCTGTGGCTCGAGAGGTCACCAGTCATGTGTGAGTGGGGACAACTGGACACCCATCATTTCCCGAGGGGATCCCTCTCGCAGGAAACTCACTGTAACTGTACTGTACTGCCAGCTGCATTGGCTCTAACACTGGAAACAGGGCTCTCAAGATCAAAAGAGTTGTTTAAATACTATGCAATTAAGAAAAAAATAGCCTGCCCCCTTTTCATGTGCCTTCTAGGGTTTAAACCCTTAAGGCACCAGGACCAGCTTTGCAAGCTGTCCTCTGCAGTTGTTTGCACGAGAAACTTGATGTTGGAAAATCAAAGACACGCTAGTGGAAGAGGAACAGAGGGGGTGAGTGCAGGACGTGGGTCTCTGAGGGGAGCAGCACCCCTCGGGGGGCAGCTGTGAGAAAGGGAGCGGACACACACACAAATTCAGAGGATGCACGAGTCCTTTCTGACCTGCACCAGGGCCTGAGGGACACGGTTGAGAAAACAGGATGGACGATCCTTCCTCCATCCCCATCCATCCCTGGAAGCAGCCTCGGGCCACAGGTTTCGGAGGGCTGGGGATGTACATCTGGTGCTGTGCCAGGCTGCGCTCTCAATGCACTTGCCACGTGAGGAGGACGCAGACCCCCTGCTCCTTCTTCTCCTCCTCGGGGAGGCATTGCTCTCTAGCAGGCTCCCTCCTGACGCTGCAAGCAGGAGAGGCAAATGCCACATCCCTGACTCAGTGCCCTGTGTTAAAGTCCCCTGGCGGCCCCGTTCCCATGGGATGAGGTGCAGAGGCCCTGCTGACCCCACAGAGCTGTGAGACACGTCGTGGCTCCAGGAAGCAGCATGCTCCGGCCATGTCTGTGCGACACAGGTGCACAGCATCACCACCCCCAGGCAAAATGCGGCCGCACCGGCTGTCTCCACTACTCTCCTCTCCGCCTGCACCACCACCTCTGGGCCCTACCTCGCCCTGGAGATATGTGTTCAGAAAGGCACGGAAAACTCTGTTCTTCAGACACGTTCAGCCCGGTTGGCAGTAACACAGCTACAGGTTTCAAGGTGGTTCCTGTGACATTTCCAGCCGCTGGCCCAAACATTTCCTTGGAGCTTGGGTCAGCAGCCAGCATCGCAGGTGCCTGTGGCCCTAGTGACAGGGTGCCCGCAGGTCCTGACCACCCCAATGGGCAGGGTGGCCAAGCCCACAGCCCCATGGTCTGCACCCAGCCCCCTCTCTAGCCCTGTGCTGCCGCCTCCAGCAGGGAGTCCCCCCTGCTGCAGCCACGCCTGCAGCATGGAGTCCCTCCTGCTGCAGACACATCTCCTGCAGCAGCTCAGCAGCATGGAGTCCCTCCTGCTGCACTCCTCTCCCAGAGCAACCTGGCAGCAGGATTGCAAAAGCTGGAGGGAGTGATGGGCAGCATTGTCCAGAGGTTGGTGTTTGTCTCCAGGGTGTGACAGCCTTACCTGGCAAAGCAAAGACACCAAGATTATGGCCCCAACAGCTCCCACACGATCTCTGATAGACAGGATAAACACTGAAGTGTCCAGGTGTCTCATCCATCCCCTCTGTGCCGAGCTACTGCTCTAAGGAGGAAGGGTGGCCATGCTTAGAGGGCTGGATCCGCCGAGCTGGCAGCACAGAGGAAGACAGACTCAAAACTGTCGTCTTCTCCACAGGTCTGGATGGACGCAGCCACACAGATCTTCTTCTCTTACGGCCTGGGGCTGGGGTCCCTGATCGCACTGGGGAGCTACAACACTTTCCACAACAATGTCTACAGGTCTGTTGTTTTTTTCCCAGCCTCCTGCGTGTCCGGGAGTGCTCACGGGTGAGGGAGGGGGTCACGGTGAGTCTGGGGTGCCGGATCTCCGACGTCTCCTCGCTGGCAACATGCAGCCTAGGGGACATGCTGAGATAGTCATAGCGGGGCTCCTCCGCCTGCAGCACACTTAACAAGTCACCCGCGCTACCTCTCCGAGGCACAGGAACTGCTCCCGGCAGTTTTTGTTTATCCCATCCTTTGCTCCTGGCCTCTTGGTAGGGACCTGCAGGTCGTTTCTTTTCTTTCTTTCTCTCTTCCAGAGACTCCATTATCGTCTGCTGTATAAACTCCACCACAAGCGTATTTGCCGGATTTGTTATTTTCTCTATTGTTGGCTTCATGTCGCACATCACGAAGAAGTCGATCTCAGAGCTGGCCTCCTCAGGTAAGCAGAAACCCGGGTTCAAACGCAACAGCAACCTTTGAGAGCAATTTGTCAGTGAGCATGAGATGCTCCCAGGTCTTTCCTGTCCGGGACTCAAGTGTGCAACCCTTTTTGCACGCCCTCCCACCAAGATGGGTCTCAGGCACCTGTGGCTGATGTTCATCACACTCTGGCTGCAAAGGGCATCTCTGCTTGCTTTTAATGTTCACCTTCTTTTAGTGCTGAAGTTTTATGCGCTTTTGCTGCAGTGAAATAATTAGGCCATTTGCTTTCTGAAACCTTCCTGTGGAGAATAGATACTGCCTAGGTTTTCAGTAGATGTGATCAAAATTTGGACTCCCTTTTCCATGCAAAATTTTGAAATTGCAATCTCAGAATAATTTTTTAACCAAGATGGGACTGTGTCTTTTTGCACAAAGACATATTTTGAAATTGCTGTCTTCCCAGAGAAAGCTTTTATCGCAAGAAATAGCATTTTGTGATGGAAAAAAAGGACATCAGAAAAGTTATAACCAGCTCTGAATATCAGTTTATTTTTCTAGCAAAGTGCTCCAGCTCCATTTGGTCGCAGTAATTTGATGATTTTCTTGCTTGCAGGAAGCAAAAAGACAAAGCATTTCTCCAGTCATTCCTGCCTACCCATCCTACCCCTGTGCATCCCACCGGGTTGGTGTGTCATGGGCGAAGGCTCAGGTGTTTCTAGCTCGTATATTAAATACCTGCAATTCTTGACTGTGATCATTGTCTCTCTGTTCAGCTGGCCTTAGTTGAGACTTCATATCAAATGCTTTATAAACATGGGCTCATTCCTCTTTGCGTTACCACAGGCCCTGGACTGGCTTTCCTCGCCTACCCGCAGGTTGTCACACAGCTGCCCCTGTCCTCGCTCTGGTCGATCCTCTTCTTCTCCATGCTGATGATGTTGGGTCTGGATAGTCAGGTGAGACGACCCGTGGACAAAGTGGGGTAAGATACGAAGATATCTTCAGATGCGATGGTGGTGTCCCCTTCTGCACCTTGGGACAGTGCTGAGCAGAGTCTTTTCTTACTCGCCATGGTGAGATGCAGCTGCATGAAACAAAACCTCCCGTGTGGTCATCGTCTCCGCGCTCTTCCCTAACATAGGCATATACTGCAAGTGTGGCAGTATCTGACTGCTACCCAATGCACCAGTCTTTGTCCTGCTGCTAATTAAAAATAAGAGTAATGACCAGCTTCCAGCAGCCCAGCCGAACCAGTCAGCCGTATAAGACAATCACCACTTCCCTGTAGGAGGAGAGGATCTTTGGAAAGCTTTTCTCCCTTCAGATCAATTTTTGGCCCTAGTGAAGTGCCGGTGCTGCTGCGTGGGCACAGCATGGCCCCATCTTGCTGGGTGACCCTGGCAGCTGAGCTCACAGGCTCTAAATAGAGCTAGCAGGAAACTATCCCTGCCAAAATACTTTGGGACACGAGAAAAAGGAAAAAGGTTTCTTTCAAGTAATAACTGCTTTGTTCTTGTAAGACATGGTTCCCCCCACCCCCAAAATAGGTGTGTGAAATAAGGGAAATCAGTATTAACTACTTCGTTTTGTATCTGCACGATAATAGCTTGTGGACATCGCAGCTCTCTTGGTATTGTGTGAGAAGGTCAGTTTGGGTGCTTCGGATTTCCTTACTGAGTCACCTTGACCAAAATGCATTTCCCGTGAGGCAAGAAAATGTCATTACTTTGGCTTACTTTCATAGGTTAGGGTAGAAAGTTTCCATCTTCTCTACTCCCAGGAGCTGGGAGGAGCATCTCTGCACAAGGTACCCGACTCCAGCCAGACCCAGGGCTCTGGCGCAGTATCGACAGGTTGTGCTGAGAAAAGCAGCGATGCAGCGTTTGAACTAGGGCTCTCCCTTGGTGTGAGGGTGGTGGATTGATGCAGCGTTTTGGCATTGTTGTTGATAACAAAAGTATCTTGGGCAGAGCTGAAGCACCCTGGTGAGCAGGGGTAGATCCTGGCAAAGGGAAAAATGGAAAGAGCCATGCCTTGGGAAAGGCGGGATGCCCTTGCTGCTTTGCCATCAAATAAGTCTTACAAGATATTTGAGGGGGAAGCAGCTGGATATAGCAAAAGGTCTCTACCCTGCCCTGCGCAGAGCCCTCACAAAACAACAAAAAAAAATGGTCTCTGTGTTTTTACAAGTGGTGATACTTTTGTGTGATAATTCAGCATAAAAGTAGCTACGCAGTGAGGCAGTGAATTGCAGCGTGCCTCCCTTTTGAGTGCATCAAAATCAAAGGCTCCTTCAAAAGCCTGTGCTTGGTCTGTCACATCGTCCCCTGTGCCCGCATGCTCTTTCTTTGCAGTGCAAACCACCAGTACAAAATGGATGCTTTCTTGGATTACAGGTAGCGTTCATAAACCCAAGTCTAGCTCATAATCAGACTCAGACCTATTCCTGAAATGTAATAACTGGTTTCCAGGAAAATCTAAATAACCAAATCTGGTTTTCAATTATGGCACTCTCCCATAAACACATCATAAAGCTCACGTCTGTATTACCACAGACATTACTTGGCAAATAATTTCAAATAATAACTAAATGTTCCAAAAGAAGCTACATTTACAGAAAAAAAATTACTCTTCATGGATTATTCACTCAGCACTGGTAAATAGGTCGAGACATGACAATAAGCCCTCTAAGCACTGTGTGGAATTTATTTGCTGCCCTTGCTTCTGAAATACCACTTGAAATTCTCCAAGTCCCTTCTGACAGCTAGTCTCAGAGGGCAGGCAATCTGTGGGGGGCTATCATTGCCTGGAGGAGGAGAAGAAAGGACAGGGGGGGAACGAAGCATCAGAAGAAAAACAAGCTTTTAAAAAAGCACAGATAAATACATGTGAAGAAGCTTTCTGTCTGCATACTGGGGCTCTGATTCAATCAAACACACCATTAACAGCATGGCAGCTTATGCATATAAAACAAGTAACACAGGCTGCAACAACAACTGCAATTGCACATGCATTTTGAAGCATCCAGTTAAAAAAAAAAAAAAAAGAACAGATGGTTTTGCTATGTGCTGATTAAATATCATTTGTGGTATTTGCAGACAGGGAGCAGCCATTTTTCATTTGGGTCAGCAGCCCAGTCCATGAGGCACGGCAGGGCCATAGGGCATTTCTTGCACCCTGCACCCCTTGGGCTGCTGGGCTGGGGCTGCCCCGTTGTCACCGGGTGGGCACGGGGCCGTAGGCACAGCAGAGATGCTCAGGAGCCCGGCTAGCGAAGGAAGGTAGGCCCGAGATCTGCGTTTGCGATGCAGCAACAAGCCCCAACCCCTTAACGATGGTGGGAGTGGGTCCACGCATGTCCATGAGCTTCGACGGTGAGTCTTCTGCAGATGCAGCACAGCTACGTCTGCCTCTTTCTGCCAGGGTGCTCATCTCGTCTGCAGTTACTTGAAGGGGATGAATGACCTATATTGGTAGACACATGCCTCCCTCCCATGCCCCCACTTGCCGCTCGTGTGCCTTAATGTTCACTCTGTCTCTGATCCATCCGGGCTTTAGCTCTCTTGCGTCTAGACCCTCTTGCATAATATGCTAATGTTTTCTTTTAACCTACCAGTTTCCAGGTCAAGCATTTTCTCCCCTGGGGAGCTAGCAAGCCTTGTGACTGCAAGCCTGTGTCTGTCCCATGTGAGGCCGCCTCTCACAGGTTATTCATGAGGAATTTCAGCTGTGAGCAGTGAGACCTATTTTTGTGGCTCTCTGGTGCACATCTGGCAGCTGCGGTCGAACCCTCCGTGGGCCTGTGGGTCCTGGTCAGGGTGCTCTGCGTGGTCGAGGAGGGGATAGCAAGCCCCCGACACTGGGAGAGAATGGGAGACAGACTTTCATTCAGACCAAGGTGCCACATATATTGACTCCCAAGCCCAGATTGTCGGACCCAGCAGCTTGTGTAACGATTAAGCCCCTGAAGGGGAAAAAGAGCAAAAGAGAAAAGTAAATGGAAATAAAATCTTTAGGAGAGAAGCAATATCATGGGGCGAGGCATGAGGACGAACAGAATATGTGCTAAAAATTGTAGCTGGGGACAGTTGGTGAAAAAAATGAAACTTTTTGGAAAGCAGACTGAGGTGTGCGTGTGTGTGTGTGCGTGCGTGTGTGTGTGTCCATGACAATGACCAGATCCTCATCACTCCTGAAAGCAGCATGCTTTCACTCAGGTGCCTACTTATCTCGTGCCAGCATCTAAGGTTGGGTATGCAGGCTGGCACACATGGACCCCAGGCCAGCCAGGGAGCCACAGTCCCCGGGGTTGGAAAGGTGAGCCTCCTCCAGGCTGCATCACCTCTGAAGCCGGAGGCTGGCATGAGGCAATTTTCAGTAAATGGTATGAAGACCATTGTCTGTTTTATGGCTAGAAAAAGCAGCGTACCACCATTTGGTTCTCCACCTCATCCATTACACACCAGCTTAATTTTGGTAGGGGGCAAAGAGATTTCAACTCACTTTGCAGCCCTGTTCCCTATCACCCATCTCCCTGCCTTTCCCTCTGTGCTTTCGCTGACTTTGATCCCTCTTCCTGCACCCAAGGGCTGTCTGTTTTACTCCCTCCCGTTATCTGAGGCACCTTTTTCTTTGCTTGTTCTCCGCTGGACACCCCTCACATCCACCCTCTGCCCCCAACCACCCCTGGCCCCCCTCCGAACCCTTTTCCCTCTCTGCCTTGCCTGGTGCCGGACCGCCTGGCCCTGCCCATGACTCCAGCAGCGTCTGGCCATGCATCCACATGGAAAGAATAGCTTTTGACAGTGTTTTTTTTGTCATGCTGGCTCTTCACACTGCGGTGCCAGCTCAGTCGTGACTCTTCCAGACAAGGAGCTGGGTGGGATGGGGTGAAGAGATCACTGTCAATGAGTCTAAAGGCAGCTTAACCCATATCCAAATGGCAAAAGATGCTTTAATAGCACTTGTGTCCAACATAAGAGCTCATAAAAAGTTCGAGTTGAAGCAGTTCAGCTTTGATGCTCTGGGAATACCGGCTTTCCGCCCTACACCGTGCAGATATAAACCCCTGGGCAGAAACATCGCCCTTTGCCTTGCTCTGTCCCACGTGGAAGCCAGCCCCAGCAGCCAGCGGTGTGCAAGCTTTTCCACCGTCCCTGCCCAGCTATAGGCACGGCTCAGACTCCCCACTTTTCCTCCATACATCTTTCCAGCCCTCTGCTGCTCTTTTTAGTCTGTGTACCCCTAACTCCACCTCCACTCCAGTTTTTTTTCTTCTTGTGTCCTTATTCAAAGCTGAATCTAAAAATGCCAGCACTTTCTAGAGCGCTCTCTCAGGGACAGGGAGGTCCTTGACATCCAAGAGCAGTGAAACCTCTTTCATTTTCATTGGACTGGCTTGTAGACATTACTGAGGGTGACCGGGGAAGCTAGGAGCTTGCTGCCCTCATAAAGTTCCCAGGATTTTTGCTAGAGGCATGATGTGCTCTCTGAGACCTCGGTGTTACTAGTGGTTTCTGGGAGTGAGATATAAAAGTGAATCTCACAATTTTTCAAGAAATAGGAGGGAAGGATGTACTTCACATATATACAGTCAAACTGTCCTCATGCCACAGGGCAGAACTAGTAGGAAAACTGATTTGAAGGTAACAATCATGGGGACTTTTTTATGTGTTACGGTGCAGACAGCATTAATACACTGTGCCTGGCAGAGCACTGCACAAGCCATCCAGGCGTTTTCAGCTCTAGAAAGAGCTCATGTGCTGTGAGGATGGGCTTTTAATGTGCTACATGCACTTAATGTAGTGTGCTTGGAAAAGTGAAATAAAATCAAGGACTGGGTAATCAGAGATGTTATTACGCACATGCATGTGAGACTGGGCAGTGGGTAATGCAGCTCCTTCATGAGTGTTTTAGATGATTGAACAACACAAGCGCTGTTGCAATAGGCTGAGAAGAGCACACATGGGAAAGGAAGAGCAAGCAAGGTCCCGCACGTGTCCCAGCAGCAGACAGACGCGTTGCTGTGACAGAGAGCCTGGCAGCATCGGGGAGCGGGGCAGTGGCGGGGAGGCCCTAGAGACTTCAGGGGAAGAAAGAGGAGGCTTTCCAAGGGGGGCAGAAAGCGGAGATTTATCTCAGCTGATTTTAGGTATTTAACCCTGGTGCTTTTACCTCCCTCTATCTTCAGTAGAGGGAGAAAGGCATTTTCAGAGGACAGTTTGGACTAACTTTGTGCAGAGATGACTCCTTTTCTAGTGTCTGCAGAGAACATTTAAAGCAATGAGGCTCTCAACGTTGGAGTTAAATGTAGGAGGCGATGACGTCAGGCTAAGAGACTTATATATATATGTCTTTGGTGTATACCTTTTCCCGTAGTTCTGCACGGTGGAAGGGTTCATTACAGCCCTGATGGATGAGTATCCTCATCTCCTGAGAGCCAGGAAGAAGGTCTTCATCGCAGTAGTCTGTTTCATCTCTTATCTCATTGGATTCTCCAACATCACCCAGGTACAGATAGCCGTGCTTGTACCTCCATTCATGGCAACTTTCTAGTCACTTTGGTATAGCACAGCAGCACCGAAAGCTTTGGAGAAGTGACAGCATCCCTAGGAGCCATCCTAATGCTGGATAAACGGGCTTGCTCATCACTGCTATATCTCAGGTGACTTAGGATGCCTCCATAATTTTTACTACCATCCTATTGTCAGTCTGGCTTGTTTTTTTGCTATTTGCAATAAAGGCTCAAGCCAACAGAGCCCAGGCTGAGGGAACGCTTGGTGCAAAGGGTTAAGATAACATAAAGAAGGCCAGTCTGTTGGGGTCCTGAACCTCTGGGGCTGAAGCCAAGGTTCACGTGTGTGGAGGTTAGGGCTGAGTGGTCTGGAGACCGTTTGTGGAGCACTGTAGGTTCATGAGGAGGCAAGGCAGCAAAACTCCTGGGATGGGCAGAGCAGACTAAATTAAGTGACTCCATCTAAAACAGAGAAAAGTAAGAAATTCTAGTGAAGCTCTGCTTTTCTTCTGAACAGGCTGGCTAATTGTCTGCAAGAGCACATCAGTTTTGCTGCTGGGAACCAGACTCCAGTGGAAACACTGCAATTCCAGCTCTGCTGTCCAAAGAAATTAACATTAAAGCCAGCAGACGCAGATAGTAGCAATCCGAGCAGCTGGCTGATATTGTCAACCATAATCTATAACTAAACTCCTTGACCCTGGTTTTGTCTCCTCAGGGTGGCATTTATGTCTTCAAGCTGTTTGATTACTACTCAGCCAGCGGCATGTGTCTTCTCTTTCTTGTCTTTTTTGAGACCATCTCAATTTCTTGGTGTTATGGTAAGCACAAAAGACCTTGTTCCTTTGTTTTCTCCATGGGCACAGTGAGTTATTTCAGAAGCCTCCCACAGTGAAGCCAATGAAAACTTTGCAACTGAAAATAGCTTAGCCTGATAACTCCAGAAAATCAGGAGCGGAAGGCTGTCATCTCGCTTCTCCAGGCCACCACAAAGACCCCAGCACAAACTGGCCAATGCCTAGGGTCCTGCCCTCTGGTCCTTCAAGAGGACACGAGGAACACGGAAGCTGCTAGCACAAATTTGCTTTTGTGTCCCTGTACCCCATCCTCTCCAGATAATGCTTCTCATGCCACAGCATTGTCACCTTCTTGCTGTGTCTGGCCTGTATTGTGTCATGAGAAGAGGTGATGACCATGGTGCTGAGGTGGGATGTTTTTTTCAATGCTCATTTCTTCTTGTACAGGTGTGAACAGGTTTTACAGGAACATCGAAGAAATGATTGGCTACAAACCTTGCATCTGGTGGAAGATCTGCTGGGCCTTCTTCACTCCTCTTGTCTGCCTGGTAAGACCTGGGGCATCCTATCCGCAGGAGTGGATCCAGAAGTACCTCTTAGTTTGGATGGGCTGTAGGGGAAACACTATGTTCTCGACCCAGTATAGGTCTGGTGTAAGGTGGTCCTAGGCAGACTTGAGATGGGTAAAGTAATACAGGTGCATCTTTCACTCTGCCCACTGGAAATCACCTGTAAGAAAAGCTCTAGGTTATTGTTTTAATCTAAATGAGGCCATCAGTTCTTCATTCTTCTTTCTGAGATGCCAAAATATAAGCAAATAATTTACTATTTTAAAAAGTTATTATTGGTTCTGGAGAAGTCTCTCAGCTACTCCAGCTCCAGCCTCAGCACCTGATAGGCTTGTCAGATGCAGTATAACTGACTGCGGAGCAATTTTGCCTTTGCTGGTTCCTGCGCTTCCAGCATAGTACAGGGAATGGTGTGAGAAGGACAATGATAGGAAGATGAAGGCTCCTGAGGCCAACTGTGAGGATGCTGTTAACTTGCTTAGGAGCTGGTGTGGGGGCACTGCTTTGTCTGAGTAGTCTAGTAAAGAAGGAAATCAGGGGTATTCCAGTTCCAGCTTTTTACATAGGATAATATGAAATAATATGAAATTACCACTTGGTGGGCTGAGAGCATCTAGACTAGTTTAAGGAGCTGTTGGGTTGCTGTAAGACTGTTGGGACCCAAGAGGATAGTGAAGGAAAGAATGGATGGATGGACCCTGATTTTGCACGCCTTCACCTGTGATGGCTGGTGCTCTTTTCCCAGGGAGTCTTCTTCTTCAGTGTGGTGGAAATGACCCCTCTGACACTGGGAAAATATGTCTATCCCGCGTGGGGACAAGGCATTGGTTGGCTTATGGCTCTGTCCTCCATGGTACTAATTCCAGGATACATGCTGTACTGTTTCTTCACCTCAACGGGGACCCTCCAGCAGGTATGAACAGCTTCACCACTCCTCTTCCACTCTCTGCTTACAGTAAGCCCCCTCACTGAACTAAGCTTGAGAAGAACCAAGCAGACTCTGCTCTGACAAAGTTGTCAGAGTACTTCAGGTTGGTGCTGCAGGAGCTCTGCGCACCCTCTCCTCCAGGAGGGCTCAAATCAGCACAGAACGGCCTCCGGCGACACGGGCTCGCTGGAGAGGACTTGCTAGCACCACTGAGCACTGACATGTCTAAATGGCTGGGAGTACTGCCGGGCAGCACGTGGCTGGCTGCGTCTGGCCAAGGGGGTAGACCTTCAGGTAGTCTCTCCTTAGGTCAATCCGCTGTCCCTCACCGAGCTTTGTGTTATCACCATCACAAAAGGGGAGCCCTCTTTCGCTGGATATCTCTTTGGTGCAGGGGACTGGAGCCCTGGAAGAGATTGGGAAGAAATCTTTGAGGTTTCTTAACCCAGAGAAATCCCAATTCCCAGCAGTCCCTGGCTATGAGCATGGTTACCTGGCATGTCTCAGCAGAGAGATCAGCACCCTCCAAGCATGAAGCTTGAAATACCTCAGGGCTAGGACCTACTAGTGAAAAACATGCACAGCAGTCGTTTGTCATGTGCTTTGTAAAGGGCACTCAGTGAGTGAGGGGTTAAGAAGCAATGCAGACTTTTATGCAGGAGCCACAATACCCATAACTCTGATCTTGTTTAAAACATTTTTTTAAATAATTTGAGCACGGTTTTATGTAGCAGTGAATCATGAGTCTCTGTATGTCATACCTAGTAATTACTGTTAAGATTTTATTTACAGTGTTGACATTCAGTCTTGAGAGCACTGTGCACAAAGCCCCTGGCTCAATGCTGTCTGCTGCAAGCTACAGGTGTAAGAAGTCACCACAGGGGTGCTGATTTATGGCTTTCCCAGCCCAGCTGCAACAGCCACCAGACGCCATCTAAATCCCATGAGTTTACTTCATGGATACTGTATTTTGAATAATGTTTAATTCAGAAATATTTTGGCTGGAATTGCTGGACTGAGGTCAGCTTCAGGCTCGCTACCTCTGAGATCAAGTTGCAAGTGAATTTGACTTTCCTTCCTCCCAGCTCTCCATTTGGATGGGCTCTGGTGGGGGAACTGGATGGGTTTGGTGTCTCAGATCTGCTTTCAGTTTCTGGTCTCTCATCTGAGGTCGTGCTTAGGTTCTTGCCATTTTATGTTGAAGGCCAGTGACAATTCTAATAGTAGGTCCTTTCTCAGATGTTTCGAGGGCTCTGTATCCCCTCATAATATGAGCTGAAAAAGAGGGAAGAAGGAAGACTGCAAATACAGATATGGGTTCAACCCTTTGCTTAGGCTCAATCCTGTTTCCAGTAGGGATGGTGAAATCACGTCCTGGCATCCAGGGCCAGCTCATGAGCATGTTTCCACCCATCCCCCCAGCACCTCATGCAAACCAGCAGTGCCAGTCAGCAGCGTGAGTGGCTGGTGTGCACCCTCTCTGTCCCGCTCTCCCTCTAATAGCATCCACACACATGAGGAGACCCAGACCTCCTCCCCACTGTTCATAGACCCAGGAGTGAGCAGCAGATGGCAGCAGGAAGAACGTAGGCTTCTGTGTGTGTGTGTTGGTATCGGAGAGACTGAGAGAATTTTTGGCCTCTTATATGCACAGATCCTGGATTAGTTTGTAATAGAGCTGGAGCTGGAGGGAAATTAGATGCCAATGCTGAATAAAGTGGTTTTGACAGACAGGAAAGATTACAAGTCATTTTGATCCTACTGAGCATGAATGTGAGGGGGAAAAAAAGACCATGAATGGCAAAAGCAGCTCAGTGAACATTTCAGGGACCTCACCCAGCAACAGCCACTTGAGCGTTATTGGAGAGTAGGAGCTTGTTTCCCTTTGCTGGAAAGAGCTTCTTCCTGACTTAGTGATATCTATTCAGGTCAGGCTCAATCCTCCTCTGCCTTCTCTTCTGCAACTTACAGCATTAATCCCTCCCTGACAGGCAAAAGTGATTCATTCTTCTTCATCACTCCTGATGCTCACTCCACACGCCTCCAGTAATGACTTGCCCCTCCATATTTTCCTGGGTTCTTGCTTCACTTTGCTTGGCTCTGCAATTTTCATTTGATCAGCACAGGGCGACAGGAATTGCTGCTGGTGCAAAGGTTTGTGCAGGTGGACTGGTCTGATCTGCATCAGCGGCACAGGCCATAACCTTGTCAGCCTGCTGCAGCTAGTTAATAATGCTTTATAACCAACCCTAGTTGAAAAATTATGGAAACTGGGAAAACGGGTCTGCTCTGAAGCCTGCGACATTGCAGCTCTCGGTCCTACTTGCAGGCGGTACTGCCTGGAAACAGTTTGCCTGCATTATAAGGGTGATCCCTGTATTTCAGATAAAAGCAGGAGCTGTTGTGCTGTGTGCAGCACCAAAGCAAAGGTGACTTGCAGAGGCTTTCAGTGGATTGCTGAATCGTGCTGGAGGAGTAACTCCTGCCGCATACACCGTCCCCTCACCCTGTAACTAGGGCCACCTCTGAGGCTTGGGGCGAGGGGTCCCAATCCTCAGCTGCTGCCATGCCCCAGCTGCCCCACTGCTGCCGCCCCGGGCCCCCAGCTGACACGCTCTCTCCCTTCATCCCCGGGCAGCGCTTGCAGCAGATGACGCAGCCCAAGCCAGAGGCGCACGCTCAGAACAACGGCCTCCAGCCGAAGACGTCCTTGAATGGGAGGGTCTCGGATGCCGCCGTCTAGGAGGAGAGCGCGGACCCCCTCGCCCTGCCCCGTAGCTGCTCGCGCCACGTTGTCCCTCGAGCTCCTCTGGCACAGCTCGCTGTCCCCGGCTCCGTGGTGGCTTTCACTTGTCGAAGAGAGGAACTGGTGGAGGAGCCCTCTCGCACCTTTTCCTCCCAGCCTGGCTTACCAAGGCCCTGCACGAGCTGCCACCAGGGCGTTGTGCGGTGATTGTCTTCATCCTGCAACATCCTGGTCCAGGCTTTCAGGGAGGAGCAGCCGGTGCCCAAGTCTTCCTCCTCCTGACGAGAGGTGATGTTTCTAGAGAGCTTAGACTGATCGCTGACCACTTCTCTGTTCTTCTCCTTGCCTTGCCACGTGAATCTCCGCAGAGCATCCCATAGCACACAGCTGTGCTGTCACCCCAGAGAGCCCGCTGACACCAGGTTCAATCCCAGATGGTTGTCGACTGATCTAGCATAAACCAACACTAGCAAATGCATAACTGGAGGGAATATGGCAGAACGAGGGATTCCAGTGAGGAGTCCAGCATGCTGGTAGCTGTAGGACATCACCCCAAAACTGGAAAAGGGCATGAGGACAGTGTGTGCTGCTCACGGGTGCCGTATTTCAGCCCTGCACAGCCTCCAGTCATTATCACGGCATCCATCGGGGCTGGCACTGTGAGCCAGAGCCTAGCAGAGTAGGCAGCCTTTTTCTTCTGGAGCATCCTGCCCTCTGCAGCTGTGTGCAGTAGCCACTCCCTGACTCTAAAATGCAGTTAAGAGGGTAAGTGGAGGGCTCTTTGCTAGAGGCTGTCCTAGTCTCCTACACTGACCACGCTCTGCTGCAATCAGCTTTGTGTGGAGGCAAGAGGTCTGCTGTGTGACAAGGAGACTTTCCAGCACGGTGTAAATCTCCCTCCCAGCTGGAACAGGGCAGTTCCTGCCAAATACCCTCCCTGGCTGCATCCCTGGGTGGGAAGCGGTAAGATGCAGCATAGTGCCCACAGGTGGTTTAGCTTATACCTTTTTTGGGAAGTGGCAACACCTAAATCCCAGCCAGCGTAAGGCAGGAGCTCCTGGGGGAGCTGGTAGGACATAGCCACCATGCTCAAACCCACCCCGTGAACCAGTGCTGACTTCCCTTGGGAAGTGCCTGTACTGCCAGCCACTGGTGCTGGCACATCCCGACTCCCAGCACACAGAGCATGGGGGGCCGTGAGCTGTTGTAGATGATGCTGGAGGAGTGTATAACACCTCAGAAAGGCTGGGAAGTGTTTCAGAGCAGTCCTAAAGCAGCAGCATATTTCTGGTTTATAAAGCCTTGAGAAAGGAGGTGGCTCATCATAGCACCATGTGCAGGTGTGACAGTGATGCTCCCATTTGTGACAGCTTCCCAATGACCCACGCGGAGATACCTGTGTTCTCAGCATTTGATGAGCACCTGTTGTACATGTGCACACATGGCGTGGCTCAGTGCAAATTAGTCTCTCCCCTCCCTTGGCAGCCTGACAACATTGCCAGGTCCGCTGGCCTGCTGTCCCACCGGCTCGCGCTCCCAGGCTCAGCTCAGAGTCAATGAATTCCAAGGAAAAGTACGTCCCACTCACGCTGTGGAGCTGTGACCTGATGCAGGTTGGCCCCGTGCTGCCCATCCTTGGGATTAGCCGGTGCACAGGGCCAACCTGCTCTTCTGCTGGTCTGCCAGCCTGAGGATCGGTAGCGTGAAAAGGAAAGAAGTCATCTGGTGATTAAAGTTGAAGTCAGTCACCTTTGGGGTTGGGTGCCCTGCCAGCTCGCCAATGCATCTCGATTAACGTTGCTTTAGATGTGTAACCAATTTGTGTTCGTACACGTGGTACGTGCTGCGTCCTGGCTCTTAGCGGTCATGGCTACCAGGCCTTGAGTGCATGTTTCGCAGTCTCCAACACCAGGAGCTGAGATCACGCCCTGTCCCGCATCGTCAGTCACCTTTGGGGTTGGGTCCCCTGCCAGCTCGCCAATGCATCTCGATTAACGTTGCTTTAGATATGTAACCAATTTGTGTTCGTACACGTGGTACGTGCTGCGTCCTGGCTCTTAGCGGTCATGGCTACCAGGCCTTGAGTGCATGTTTCGCAGTCTCCAACACCAGGAGCTGAGATCACGCCCTGTCCCGCATCTAATCATTAGGGTGTTTACGTCAAAAAAATCGCAGCTCTTAAATAGACATGAGGAAATGCTGAATTTACAGGTTTGATCTTGTAAAGCCAAAAGCCAAACACTGAAAGCTGCAATAGTTCATCACAATTAATCTCAACCAGTCACAGACGTGTCATCTTTCCTTGTCCTGTAATTGCAAGCACTAGTATAGCTGAAATATTCTATTCCACTTTCACCTATTTTTATAAACCAGGCGGTAAGGGAAACCACTCCTTATATACATGTATGTCCTTTGAGAGGGACGTCTGTGTTGAAAACAGATGTTAACCTCTGATCTTTGCAGCAATGACCTTTACTAGAAACCTGCTTTTGCCTGTGCATCCCGGTCACGTAACCTCCCTCCCCTTAAATGCAGACTGAAAGTTGCACAGCTGGGTGATGGGCAGAGGAGTAAATTCTTGAAGAAGGCCTTAAAACCATGGAAGACCCCAATTTTTCCAACTTTATTGGGGCAGCTCAGGTCTGAGATAGAACAAATCCATGTCAGTGGTCATTTTTTAAAATCTTGGCCAAAGAGCTCGGTTGGTGGGAGAGCTGTTTGAAGGGTTGCACTGTCCAGGTTGTTCCTCTAGGGGAGTGGAGAAGGAAGGGTCCAGAAAACAAAGTCCCTTCGCCGGTGGCTGAGGAAATCCCTAAATCTCTAATTCCTTTTTGCTGGGATTTTAGTCCCAGCATCTCTCTGACTTGTGGCCTTGCGTGTGGCAGGTGCAGAACATCACTCCAGGTGTAGCAGCAGGGGCTACACATGGGCTGCTCATAATAACAGTATTTGATGAGATTTAACCATTTGCTTGGTTTCCTACCTGTGACCTTCTCCTTTGCTTTCCCTCCTGCCCTGCTCCTTTTCATTCTCTTGCCTCACTTCTTCCCCACTATCATCGGTCCAGTGGAAATTATCTACCTCAGCTTGCTTCTTCCTGCTTTTTTGCTTCCAATACTGTCAAATTACAGCTCTCCCTCCTTTCTTTTCTCCTTTCTCTCTCTCTCTTTTTAATTACCAGCCTCACTTCCCTGCTTCTCTCATGCGCTCTCCTTCCTTTTTACTTATTCCTGCATGCCGCCGGCTCAGCCGCTCGCTGTGCGCACGCTCAACCCTTCTGCCTGCTGAAAGCTGCAGCTCAGGACCCCATGGAGGAGCTCAGCTTTTTGCAGGATCCAGTCCCTAAGAACCAATTTCCATCCCAATATCAAAATTATAATGAAGTTCCAGCTATCTTCTCTTCCTCTTTGCACCAGAAAGTGCTGTGCCAAGCAATGCTCTCTCTTGGTGTTACTAGAAGAGGCATTTCAACCCATATTCCACCAGTCTCTGCAGAGCTGTGTCTGTTCTGAAAGATTTTGTGGCCTTTCCTGGTTTTGCACTATTTTATTTCCACCATGAATGTTTGGATCTGCAAAGTCTGGCATTCATAGCCTTGCAGGGAGGAATTTGCCCTTAGTCAAGCTCTGTCTGATTGACTGATCCCCTCCTCCAGCATTTCAAACTCATCCCATCCTTAGTGCTAGAAGAGCTTTCCCACCTCCATCGCACGCAGGTTTCCCGTCTAGTGAGGAGGCAGGGACGGGGACGGCCCCTCGAGCTCACCCCACACCTCAGAAACGCCGCTATGCGCAGGTCCAGCGAAGCAGCCATATCTGCGTGTTGACTTTTGGACGTCAGGCTTCGGATACCAGCTGAAAGGCATGTGCCGTGCTCGGTGCCAGTGATTCCTCTGTAAGAACCACTGTTGTGCTGTTCCCACGGTGCGTCACTTGTGCTGACCACCACTCTGCTCCTCATTCCTTTCGGCTCACCCGGCAGAGAGGATACGTGCGTGGCCGGGGGGTGGGACGCTCCCCTCTCCCCATGCTGCAGTTCAGAAGGGGATCCCGCTCCCCTGTGCTCACCCACAGCGCTCCTGCCTTTTCTCTGCCCCCTCGCCTCCCCAGCACCTGCCAGCCTCTCCCTCCCGCCACGGGCAGCCACTCGAAATAATCCCCCGTGAAACCTCTTAGTTCTAAGGAGCTATTTAGGGAGCTCTGCTCAAATCCCTCTGAAATCCTCTTTTTCCTGAGGGCTGCAAAAAATAAAATAAATGCCATTGCCCCCACCCTCTGCCACAGCAGCAGGGGCTGAGGGGGCGATGGGAAAGGCAGGATTGCTTCGTTGCTGCTCAAGTGCTGCTTCCCTTGGAGATGCGGGTGCGATCCTCTCCCCCGGGAGAGAGGAGCTCTTCCTGCTGCCATTCTCCCAGATGTGCTCTGACAGCTGGCAGCTGGCTGTAAAACACGTGTGCAATGTGCACAACACGATACCAATGCCGTGTGGCACTGTAAGGCTGCGGCTAGCCGACTGCTGCGTAGCTTGTAGTCTCTCCACAACTCTATTAAACGATGTGTTGGGCGCAGTTGTGCTGTGCGTCGGGGGGTGCCCTTAAAGCCGGCGTCGTTCTGGATGAGCAACTTGTCCCTATCCCTCTCCTGCCCCGGGGGGATTCTCTCCAGATTGGGAGACCCTGGTTGCATTTGGTGGTGATGGCCAAATGGGGAGGGGGTCTGCGCCACTAAGGGACATGTCCACTGTGTTTTTGCTTGTATTGAGGGCTACCAGCTCACCCATGGCAGTGGAGCTTGCACCAAGCACGCTGCCTGCTTTCCTCAGGAGCTAAACGCATGAAATATGGTGCTCAGCATTGGATGCCAATACTGGCACTGGAGGCCACGCGGTGTGCCCAAACAGCATGGTTTCCTCTCCTGATGTCTGATCCTGTCTCTGTACAACTCCAGCTGTTGGTCAGAATCCACCTGAGCGGCTCAGGGGTGGGAAGAAAAAGCCTG